GGGACAGGGGGGTTCATACAGTATATAATAACTAGGGTTTAGGGTTTAGGGTTTAGGGCTTAGGGTTTAGGGTTTAGGGTTTGTAGAGAAGAAAATAGGATTTGGGGGTTTCTTTATACTCAATCTTTTAGTAGAATTCATACGAGAGGTTTAGGGTTTAGGGTTTAGGGTTTAGGGTTTAGGGTTTAGGGTTTAGGGTTTGTCGTGCCAAGGAGATGAGCTCATCATTCTTCTCCTTTAGCGTCGCTTCCTGCGGGCAGCAGCAGAGCAGCAATAAACCACAGATAGAATAAAAAAAAAAGGGTTTAGGGTTTAGGGTTTAGGGTTTAGGGTTTAGGGTCTAGGGTCTAGGGTTTAGGGTTTAGGGTTTAGGGTTTAGGGTTTAGGGTTTAGGGTTTGCGTACGTCGCCTTTGATATAGCCGTAGAGGGTTTCGTTCTCTGCTCGTAGCATTCCCGCCTGCAGCAGAACATAAACCCTAAACCCTAAACCCTAAACCCTAAACCCTAAACCCTAAACCCTAAACCCTAGAAGGTCTACGCTTTAGGAGGGGAACAGTGAAAGGGTTTAGGGTTTAGGGTTTAGGGTTTAGGGTAGGGGCACATAAAAGACAAATAGGAGAAAAGGAAAGAAACAAANTAGGGTTTAGGGTTTAGGGTTTAGGGTAGGGGCACATAAAAGACAAATAGGAGAAAAGGAAAGAAACAAAGACTGAGAGAAGGAACACAAAAAAGAAGAGACAGAAAGAGACAAAAGGAGACAAATAAAAGGAGACAGAAAGGAGACAGAGGGAGACAAAAGGAGACAGAAGGAGACAAAAGGAGACAAAAGGAGACAAAAGGAGACAAACACGAACAGGAGACAACCGGAGACGAAAAAGGAGACAGAAAGGAGACAGAAAAGCGGACAAAAAGGAGACAAAAAGGAGACAAAAAGAGACAAAAGGAGACAAAAAAGGAGACAGATAAAGGGAGACAAAAAGGAGACAAAAAGGAGACAAAAAAGAGACAAAAAGAGACAGATAAAAGGAGAAAAAAGGAGACAGAAGGAGACAGAAAGAGACAAAAGAGGAGACAAAAGGAGACAGAAAAGGAGACAAAAAGGAGACAGAAAAGGAGACAAAAGAAAACAAAAAGGAGACAAAAAGAGACAGAAAAGGAGACAAGAGGAGACAGAAAAGGAAACAAAAGGAGACAAAAGGAGAGGAGACAAAAGGAGACAAAAGGAGACAAAAGGAGACAAAAGGAGACAGATAAAAGGAGACAAAAAAGGAGACAAAAGAAAACAAAAAGAAGACAAAAAAGAATACAAAAGGAAACAAAAAGGAGACAGATAAAAGGAGACAGAAAAGGAGACAAAAGGAGACAGATAAAAGGAGACAGAAGGAGACAAAAAAGACACAGAAAAGGAGACAAAAAAGGAGACAAAAGAAAACAAAAAGGAGACAAAAAGGAGACAAAAAGGAGACAAAAGAAAACAAAAAGGAGACAAAAGGAGACCTGTTTAGCTCTGCCTTCTGCCTCATGCAGCAGCGCCTTTCGCTCCAGCGCTATCTCCCCCTGCATCTCAAACCCTAAACCCTAAACCCTAAACCCTAAACCCTAAACCCTAAACCCTAGACCCTAAACCCTAAACCC